AAGATGAAGTTCTGACTCAGATCTGCGTAGTGCAGCATGGACACATCAGCACGGTTGTGAGGCTCAGGTTTTAACACAGAGTGGATGCTGAAGTGCGGACTTGGAAACACTGAATCTGCAGGCATGAGTCACACAGACTCAGATTTACTATATTTTGTAGATGTACCCTGAGTCTTCTAAGACAGCTCACCACACTTAACTCCTCTTCTTGGCATGCATGAGGGTGAGCTCAGACCAGGACAAAAGAGCACAAAAATTACAGTGCCTACATCCAGACTGAAGGAAAGTAAGTGTGTGGTGGACTGTGTAGGTGAGTTTCATGATCATGTCTATCTTATCTGCTATGGTGTTGTCCCAAGTGAAGTCTCTGGACCCCTGTAAACCACTACCACTATTGTGTGCAGAATGCTGTATATCCACCTGGCTGGCCTGCCTATCTGCCTCTCCCTGGCCCTGCAGAGTTTGCTGTCTTTCAGTAGTGTTATATGTATACATCTTTGTGAAATGGTTTGAGATGAGAGCCAAAATATAAAATTAAGATATTACATGTGGGGTGAGAGTGAGAGAAGACAACCTCATTAAACTGTAGGATTACTGATCATAATAGTGGTTTAAATTATGCTGTATTAATCCAATAATGATGTTCAGTCTGCTAAGAGACAACACGTTCCCCCACACCCATTCCTGGCCTGACCTCCCCCCCACCTCCATGAAGTGCTGTATTCCTGCAGGAAATGAAGCTGAGTCACACTTACAACTGCATTCTGTGATAATATTTATAAACTGCATTATAACGCCTTTCATTTAGAGGGAGCAATTTTAGTCTGTACGTGCATGGGATATTCAGGATGGTTTTTAAATCCCACACCAAAAGATTAAGTAAGTAGAGAGGAAACACCATTTCTGGGACATTATTTCCTACTACAGTATCATACTGACACCATTACCCATCAGTACAGATACAGAGAATAAATTATTGAGATACGTATCAACATAGCCAGTAAGTTTCTGGAACTTGATATATTAAAAACACTAGTCGCGTACAGAAGCATACAGCTCAAAGGAAAGAAAATACTTTCCAGAGCTCCCATGACTACCACAGAAGTAATAAAAAACAACAAAAAAATGTAAGGGGCGTTATTAATCCTACCACTATTGATGGCTACTCCTGCTTAAAGGTAGCACACATATGATAAAGGTGAGAGGGTTAAACATTAATTTAATATACATCACTAAGAGCCAACTGCAGTTGGATTAACAATCCCACGGATGAAGTGATAGATGTTCCTGTTTTACCCTCAAATCGTCAGATCATATTGTTCCAGTCAATGTTATTAACACCATTTTCCAAGACAGAGCGTGGCAAGTAGTTAGGCTGTTTAAAGGAATTTTTGCTTCTTTGATGGAAAGCGGCAACTGAAATAGAAAACTCAGAACAACGACACTTCATCCATCATTTTCCGCAATAATTCCATCAAGATCTCCCTGATGTCAGAGGCTACACCATATGGGTAGAAATAAAGAACACTCAACTAAGATTAGAAAGGAAAAGGAGAGAGAGAGAGAGAGAGAGGTGAAGAAGCAAAGGGAAGCTGTGAGAAGAAAGATGTTTCAAGACTCTTTTCACATCTTAGATTTTTAATGTACTTAAATTCAGTCAGTCGAGCCACTTTCATCAAAGAAATCTCAGTGGGAACACTTTATTACCAATCTTTTAACTAGCTTTTCCTTGCAAATAATTTTGATAAAAAAATAAGATGTTCATTTACATCAGATTGATTTTTCCATAAACAGATGCATATTTAAATAGGAAGCTATTTCCTCTCTTTATGAAAATGTTCATTTAAATAGATACTCCCATGAATCAAGATTATTTCTTACTGATACAGAACTGATATACACAAACACTTTTTAAAACATTTCAGAAGTTTTAGGTTTCCCAAAAACAATAAATCTGGCAAGACCAGAAGCCTCCTAGTTTAATATACAAAGACATGAAAAACACATGTAACCAAACTGAATATATTAATCATCCTTAGAAGGAAATTCAGTGATGCAGAAAAAAGGATATTCATCCTAAATCTGTTTTGATAGCCAGATTTTAACAGTACAGTGCAGGCAAATGAAAATGTCTATGTTCACTTAGCATCAAATCTAATTTTCCTTCATAGCAACAATACATCTATTTTCAACTCCTACACCCTTGAAATTCATTAAAGAATTTCCATAATGTAGCTAGTGATCACCACTCACAGCTAATCTGGGGCAGGGGATGGGGGGGAAGCCCCAGGAAGCTGTTATACCAAATAAAAGCATGAGGTTTTTCTAAGATCTTATATTTAGAACTTAGAAACTTATATTTAGAATTAAGAAATATATGGATACTGCACCATTCTCCTACAGACTCTGAACCTATTTTTAAAGAGATAAAACACTGATTCAACACTAGTACATCAGCTAGTTCCAAAATACTTCTGTCTTTTATAAATATCAAAAGCAGTATTTCAATTTTAATTCAGTGAAGACCAGATCTCTAAAATGTGATAGTTTCCCACAATGGATACCTAGATTTACTTAAAGAACTTAACTTACACCTCTAATCTTTACCCTCTACTACACCACATCCCCAAAGTAACCAAAAGACATTACTTTGGCTCCTGAAAAGCAAGCTCTCCAGATTCTTCATCCAGTTTTTAGCCTCTTGGCAGTGGCCCTAGATCCCAGTATTCCAAAAACCAAGAAATGGAGCTTGCAGTTCAAACTTTAATCCGCTTCCCAAGTAGCCCACTAGATCACTAAACACCTCCATATTTACTAGATTTTACATATACTCAACCATTATGACTTTTCCAGTTAAACAGACAAGCATTTGTCTTTTAAACTTTCAGTTAACTGGATTTCACTATATATCATCAACAACTGAATTAACTGTCTGTGCTTTACAATTAAACTTCCCAACTGCACCTTGGTGATACTGGAGAAGAGACAGACAAACAGGATTACACATTGCTGTACTTGTGAAAGACCTTATATAAAATCCACACTTGAATATACATGAGTAGCTTTATAGCATCCCCTTCATTCATCCCATCATGCCTAAAACATTTACAGAAGATACAGATGTGAATCTATATACAATGTGATCTGAAATATTTAGATACATTTGAGATGAGTTAATGATCCACTAGTAGCCTTAATTTTTTAATTTCCTTTTTTATTTTCCTTATAATTGAAGTTGTGTGTCTTACTACCTAGATAGTAAATGGATCAATGTTTTATGTTTAAGGGTCTACTACTAAACCAGGGTCTAACACAAAGACATGTGAAATTTTAAAAGCTATGCACTACCCACAACAAACCCCTAAAGTTGACTATGCTCCTCCCAGTCCCAGAACTTCCTTCTCCATTACGTACAGTGGTTCTTCAATAAAAAGTAAATAAATACAAAAAAAAAAAGGGGTTTAGGCACTGAACCAGATGAAATAAAATTCATTTTCACACTTGCAAGCAATGTTTCTAAGAGAATCCACAAATTGAAAAAAAAACTCTCACATTAACATTTCCAAATGGAATACCAGATTTTATATTTCCTTCCTCAAGAGAAACTAAGTAAGATATAGTCTGCTCCCCTTCTACTCATAGCAAATGCTTTTGATGAAATGGTCCACCCTGAAATTCAGGAAGTTTCTGGTTATCTAAACATTCTGCCAAGATACTGACTTTACTATGGAGACTTTTGAATTAAAAGCCAGCTGTAGTTCCTCTCTCTCATTTCAGAGGGACAGAAGATGTGAAGATAGAAATTGAGAAAATATCTAAAATATTGTTTTCTGCAGAATAGAGTGTCCTTTTCTCCCTCTGTCCCCAAACCTTGCTTCTCTTAACGTGGAACAGTAAAGTTACAGAGCGCTCAGTGCTGTCAAAACGTTCATTTGTGCAGGGCAAGCACTACAATTCATGCACCGAACATTCATGAATGGCCTTCCAAGGGAGAGGAACTGAGTCAAGTAAACACCCTCTAAAATGTCTGGGATCCGTTCTGGAATTTTACATTTTATTCAACCATTACCAGCAGAGAGCTATTTCAATAAATCTGAAATAAACTGTGTAACAATTGTGTCCCATTATACTCATCTAAAATGGAGCAAAAAAAAGTGACAGGGCAATAACCCTTAACAGCCTTGTTTGCCGTGATCACTGAAATATACCCTCTCCCATGTTTCCAAACCAGGCATTTAAGAAATTCAAAGCAGCAAACCCCTAATACACTGATGACAACACCTGCGCTCACAGGGCAGGAGTCAAAACCCACGGCAATTAGGCTGCCTACATAAAAGAAAAATGGACTCAGTGAACGAGAATTGGCTACAGAGAGGCTCATCCTAGGTCAAAGACGACAAAATCAAAACCAGGCTTGTCCTGGGGAGGGACGGAACTTTAGATCTCTTTTTAAAGAGGGTGGTAATAATAATGCCCAGCCAGCAACTTCACACAGCGCTGTCCCGAGTTGCACCCTACCCAGGCGGCTAGGGGGGAAGGGCCCCCCGGGACGTTACTTAGCAGCGAAGTGCCACGGAAGTGCGAGCCAATCCCGCGGAGGAAATGCGATTTCCAATGTGAGTTTCAGAGAGGCAGCGGCGGCGGCTGCTCCCCATTCCCACCCCCGCTACGCAAGGCCTTTGCGGAGGGAATAGGCGCGCCCGCCCTCCACCTCCTCCCAGTTTAGTGCCAAGCAGCCACGAGCTCCGGCGCAGGGCAATCCCATGGGCAGAGCTCGCCGCGGCGCCAATGCAGACAATAAGCAGCAGGCAAGGAAATAAAGGGAGACAAGGCTGCAGCCCCCGGGGAGCAGGAAACGCTCCCGCAGGGGAGTTGTGCGGGGGGGGAGCGGGCGCCGACTCTGGGCTTTCCCGGGAAAAGAACAAACTTGTGCAAAGTTTGAGTCAAGCAAATAAAGCGCAACAAGCGGGATCCCGGGGGAGCGGAGGAGAGGGCCTCACCCACGCCGTATTTCTCCTCCCTCTTGGTGGGCACCCAGCGAGTCATGGCGCTGGGGTAGGCTCTCCGCCCGTCAGGCGCTGGGGAGCCGCGACGGCAGCCGCCGAACCGGGATGGGATGCGGGGACTCCGCTCCTAAGCCGCCATTTTCCAGCCGCGGGACGGGAAAAGTTTGCTCCTGCGGATGGAGAAGTCATGTGGTGCGGGCGGAGTCAGCACTGGGAGTCCCAGCCCCCCTGCAAGCCTGGCTGGAGCAGCCACTGCCTGCCGGGCGTCCGCCGGCATTGCCCGGCCCGGGTGAGAGCGAGTGTGCGGCTCCCCAAGGGACTGGCAGAATGATCGCCCAGGCCACCACACACCAGCCCGCCACTGCTGGCCCTGCCCCAAGAAACCAGCCCGCCACTGCCCCAAGAAACCGGCCCGCCACTGCTGCCCTTGCCCCAAGAAACCGGCCCGCCACTGCTGCCCCTGCCCCAAGAAACCAGCCCACCACTGCTGCCCCTGCCCAAATGAACCTGCTCCAAGAAACCAACTTGCTGCCCCTGCCCAAACTACTCTGTCACCAAAAAACCAGAAAAAAGAGAAGCTAGATCTACCTGACTCTTGCCAATTTTTGTCCTTCCCCCGCAATTAGTACCATCAGAAACTAAAAAAGCCTAGCTACTGTACCCCCCCAAAAAAATCTGAGACCCCATTTCACGTGGAGGATGAGCACTGCATGAGCCCACCACAGGTGTGTGCTGGTTCCAGACAAATGGTTCTGGCAATGGGAGCTTCAGGGGAGGTACCCACAGGCGATCGCAGCACGCGGAGCCCTCTACCCCCCCTCCCCCAGGGGCCACAGGAATGTTCCAGGAGCGGCGCGGTGCCAGGGCAGGCTGGGAGCCTCCCTTAGCCTCGCTGCGTGCTGCTGCCACCCCAGAGCCGCTCAAAGTAAGTGGCGCCAGGCCAGAGCCCACACCCTGCACCCCACACCCCAACCCCCTGCCTTGAGCCCCCTCCCACACTCCACATCCCCCCTCCCCCGCCCCCCCCCCCCCCCTACCCCCCTGCCCAAGTCCTACATTCGTGGCCCTGCATGCAATTTCCCCACCCAGATGTGGCAATCGGGCCAAAGAGTTTGCCTACTCCTGTTCTATGGCATGGATAGAGAATAAGTATTGCCACTCCTGCTGCACTAAATAATTCTGGGCTCTGATGTATCCTTGTGCACAAGTGTCACAAAGATCCATTGAAGGGGTGTGCTCATGCACAAGGATGCAACAGGATTCAGAAATTTATGGTGCAGTAGAAGCAGTCACACTGGTTCCCTATTGGTGCCATGTAGCACTGCTCTACAGTCAAAATGCTTCTGAAATAAATGTAGTCAAACTTTACTAATTCTGGGTCACTGAGAACGAAAATGATGCTTAAAATTGTTGATTGGCTCTAGTTTTCAAGATATGCTACTGGGTCAGTATATACGACCCTTGACTTGGGAATGGCGGAGGATAAGTGAGTTATAAAGGGAAGGGATCTCAATTTAAACCAGAAATGACTAAAATACATCTTTGACTGGATCTATGAATAAATCTATAACTGGGTTTGGACAGTACTTGCTTTTTAGGCAAAACAATGAATGATGCAATCTGAAGCTGGTATTGTGTCATACATGATATGAATTGCATCATGTTATTCCTAGAAGTCATGGATGATGCAATCATAACGAAGCTTACATCACTCTGCTGAACAAATTGCCCTATATCAGCTCTAGAAATCATACAGTGTCATGCTCTCTTATTTGTCAGTGTTTGATTTTGCAAAGGGACACATTTCTGTTTAGCCAAAGTGAGCAGAGATGCCTCGTACTTGTGTGAACAGTGCAGATAACTTCTGCTATGTTTGTGGTGAAGTGACTTTTGCATCACAAAAGCACAGTATAACCACTATGGTTAAGAAAGCCTATCACCTTTATTTTGGCTGCAAAATTGGAGATCAGGACAAGAGGTGGGCCCCACACATATGCCGCAACACTTGTGCAACAAATCTTCGCCAGTGGTTGAACAGGAAAAGGAAATCTATGCCTTTTGCAGTGCCAATGATTTGGAGAGAGCCAACAGATCATACCAGCAATTGTTACTTCTGCATGGTGCCTCCAGTTGGGAAAGGTGTGTCAAAGAAGAAAAAGTGGACTGTGCATTATCCAAACATTCCATCAGCTATACGCCCAGTACCCCACGGAGAAGGACTGCCAGTTCCTGATGCACCAGAATCATTCTCAGTTGAGTCAGACGAGGAAGAGGAAGAGGATGAAACTTCTGGTCCTGAACCATCAATGTCACAGGACCCACATTTTCTCCCATCCTCCTCCTCTGAACCACACCTCATAACACAAGGTGAACTGAATGACCTTGTCAGGGATTTGGAACTACCCAAGAGTAAGGCGGAGCTGTTGTGCTCCAGACTACAGCAGTAGAATCTCCTGGCAGGTGATGTTAGGGTTTCCATGTTCCGTGACCGTCAAAAGGATCTTGTCCCATTCTTCTTCATGGAAGGTGATCTTGTAGCCTGCAACAACATCGATGGTGTGATGGCAGCCCTCAACATCGTTCACAATCCAGATGAGTCGAGACTGTTCATTGATTCATCGAAGACGAGTCTTAAAGCTGTTTTACTGCATAATGGCAATGTTTTGCCATCAATTGGTCATGCAGTCCATATGAAGGAAACCTAAGACAACATGAAACAACTTTTGAGGTGCATAAACTATGACCAACATCAGTGGCGATTTGAAGGTTGTTGCTCTCTTGCTTGGTTTGCAGACTGGATACACAAAGTACTGCTGTTTTCTCTGCGAATGGGATAGTCGTGCAAGAGATTCCCACTACATCAAGAAAGATTGGCCACTCTGACAGTCATTGGAGCCTGGGAGGAAAAGTGTTCAGCATCCACCACTTGTTGAATCAAGGAAGATTTTGTTACCACCCTTACACATCAAGCTGGGTCTGATGAAGAACTTTGTCAAGGCCATTAACAAAACACAAGCAGCTTTCAAGTACCTCCGTGGAAAATTTCCAAGGTTAAGTGAAGCTAAGATAAAGGATGGTGTATTTGTTGGTCCTCAGATTTGTGAACTTCTTCGAGATGATGCATTTGACCATGCACTGCGTGGCAAGGAAAAGACGGCATGGAAAGCCTTCCAGTTAGTGGCAATAAATTTTCTCGGAAACAACAAGGCAGACAACTACAGGTTGTGGGTGGAAAACCTCCTCGAGGCATACAAAAGCCTTGGTTGCAACATGTCACTAAAGATACATTTTTTGCACTCTCATCTAGATTTTTTTCCACCGAACTGCGAGCAGTGAGCGACGAGCACGGCGAGCGATTTCACCAGGACATTGCAACAATGGAGAAACGCTATCAGGGCAAATGGAGCCCATCAATGCTTGCAGACTATTGCTGGACAGTGACAAGAGATGCTCCATTTAATGAATATAAGAGACAAGCCAAGAAGCGCCGAGTAGACACTGAATAGGACTAAACTATGTACAGAATAGTTTTTTGCCTTTTGTTTCATAATACATTTTATTTATATAACCCTTTTGCTGATTTTTAAAGTGTTACATAAACAGGACAGGTGAAATATTATCAAGTAAAGCAACCATAAACACATGAAAAGACCTAGGTTTACAATTTATGATTAAAACTCTACTATCTACACAATATACATAGACATAAAATGTAAAAACTTAAATATCTTAGAAACAGTAGCCAATCAGTTGTTTTAATTGTCATATTTGAATTCAGCACATCAAAATACATAATAAATAGCACATTTTATCTCTGAAGCAGACGACTTCTCAAAAATTGTAGACCAGTGTAATTTGAGTGATGAGGGATGAACACTGGATGGATCATGGCTTTTGGTTTGCTCAGGAACCAAAATGTTTTGGTGCAGCTGGAAGAGCTAGATTTCGTCTCTATTTAAGAGTTCTAGGACTCTGAGACAGGTTTTTTTCATTTCTACTTGTGTTGGGGTCCAAACTGCTTTTGGTGCAGTAAGAATGGTAGACTTCTCTATTTTGATGGTAGAGTTTGGTAAATAACTTGCCACATTTGTCCTTCCTAGGAAATCAAGCTATCCCCATCCGTCCCATCGCCAGAGAAACTGAGCCCTTTTAAGAGGTGATAAGAAGATATTCTAGTATCTGAGACTGGCAATGTCTTTGCCAGCAGGCTGTCTGTGTCTGAGAGAGTTTCCCTGGAGCTATCCCTCTCTGTATGGATCTATTCTATGACTATAAAGACTTGAGATCGTCACTCCCAAACCCAGAGTTCTGGGGATTCTCTCAAAATTAGAGTATGCCTAGCAGCTATTCCGTGTGTGGGGTGTTTCAGTTATGAGGGGGACAGGTGAACAGAGAAGCTGAGCTTCTCCACCCTCTTCCCCAAGTCCTAGTGCCCTCAGAAAACCTGAAAGGCAGCATATCTTTTGAAGTAAAGCAAAATTTTCGTATTGTTTGGCTTTACTACGAAGAAAATGTGAAAAAAGTAGTGGAGAAAGTTAGAGATAAAATTTGCAAAGAAATAGAGCAGGGAAGGGCAAAATAGCTATGGAAAGTCTAAACGGCTATATTCTGCTACAAAAAAACTGACAGCCGTAGGACCCTGGTGCGCTGATGCCACTGCCGCTCATGCTGACCAGTATTGTCTCATTTCCTTGTACTGCCCCGTCCGTCCCTCTGAATCCACCTGAGATACAGGGTGAGAACTAATCCCTTGCAGGGGTCAGGAAGGAATCTTTACATTCAGTGCATTTTGTGTAGAGCCATCTCCTGAAGCATTATTGCCTACTGTTGGGGCATTGTTCCAGACTATATATATATCAGTATCTGATCCACACAGAAACCCATTCCTACCTAGTCTTTCCATACACCCTCCCTCCCACCTTCTTTGTGCTTTGTTTCCCAATTCAAAGGTATGCTGCAGCATAATATAGATTCCACCACCTAGAACATTGTCTGCCAATGACTAGGCTGAGACCCTGAATCTCATTGCTCTTTTAACTAAAGCAAGCCTTTAGAATTCAAAGGCCATTGCAATGTGTTGAACCACTGTACCCTTAGGCATTATTCCATAGGGTGAGGATCAAAAGTGTTTCAACAGCAGTCTCGGCTCTTTATCTTTATC